TTTTTTTTTTATGAAATATGCAAATAACAAAAAGAGCAATGCTCAAGGTCGCGAAAGCTTGGCACAGTCAGTCATGAGAAGAGAACTCTTTGGCAAGCGTTAAAAGCTTTCTCTCTCTCTCTCTCTCTCTCTCTCTCTTTCATCGTGCTCTCTAACCATCATCGTGTCGGTAGTTCTCTCTCGTGGTCACATAATTTCTCATTCCATTGCACCCGATGGGCAACGAGATCCATCCATCTAATGCTCTCCTCGTAGCTTATAAGGGGTCACCAGAGGATAAAATTATAACGTGGAAAGTGTCATCGAAAGTTCGATCGATTAAAGAAGAAGCATCCAGCATCCTTGACTATAGTCTGTGAAAATCGAAGGACGTTGATTTAACCCAACTGTTATTAACAACTAACATTTACCATTATTATTATTATTATTTTATTTTATTTTATTTATTTATCGGTTTCCTAACAAAACAGATTTATCAATATAAAAATGTTGTATATTGGAATTTTTGGCAGGGGCGTGCCGTGGCGTAGCAATTCGACCTATCTATTCTAATTTAGAATTTAGCCACCAGATAGCGTATTCAAGTGCGCTAAAAATCCCACGTGATGTAGCAATTCGACCTATGTACTGTAATTTTGAATTTAGCCACCAGATAGCGTATTCAAAGTGCTACAGATACCAATACTTTAATAATAAGTTTTTATATTTATTAATTCAAATATAAACAGGTGATTATAATTTTTAAACAACAACAACAACAACAAAAACTAGAGAAACACACAGTGGAATTGCGATTATCATCGTTGAATAAATTTCACCCTCGTATTTGACTCTCTTTTATCTTGTATTTTTTATTATTATTTTTTTTCTTTTTATTATTTTTTTATTATTTTCTTTGACGAGGGGTGAACCGTGTGTTGATGCATACGCGACCTTCTAACATACCTTTTTTTTTTTCTTCTTTTTTCTTTTTTCTCTTTCTTTCTGCTATAGTTTTAACACCAATGGGTTGGTTGGTTGGTTGGTTGGTTGGTTGGTTGGTTGGTTGATGATACAACAATCGTGCTATTGTTTAATATCGATTTTTGTTTATTTCATGCATTATCGGGAATAAATAAATCAAACGATGAGTACGTAGTAGAAAGAAATTAATTGCATGTACGATTAATTCGAAAGTTTTTCTGTCTTTTTTTTTTTTTTTGTTTAATTGAGATTCGGTCAAGCAACTTGACATTTGTCAATAATAAAAAAAAAAAAAAAAAAGAATAGAACAAGTGTCCTTGGCCTTTAAAAGGGACTAAGGGAAAGACACTAATTTGTAGATCCTAAAAATGATTGCAAATAAAAAAACAGCATAAAATTTTGTTAAAAAAAAAAAAAAAAAGACATTGTACGTTCTAATTGAATTATTTATATTTTATAATTAATATGGAAAATGTTGAGTGTTAAATTACAGGTTTAGAAAAAAAAAAGAATGTTTGAAACATAAAATACTCACAAACCAAATAATAATAATAATAATAGCAAATGTTGTTATGCAAATTATGTTTAAACATGTTCATGTGGTTAGTGTTATCAATACTCACCTAATCCTAATCCTAGTTCACATTCTCATTCTTGTTTTGAACGTTCTATTCGTCGTCATAGTTGGTCGTCGTCGTCGTCGTCGTCGTCATAGTTGTAGTTGTCGTCGTCATTCGTTCGTTGTGTGTTGTACGACGAACGCGACGACGATTTCATTGAGAACTTATATTCAATGGCAGAGTTCATGGACGCGTCTCCTAAGCGCATCGACGCGCTTCGAGAGGATGCGTCACCGGCGTATCGACCAATCAGAATACGACACGTGTGTCGCAATGCTTACGTTCAATTAGTATCGATGCTAATTAAAAGCCATCCGTAAACAAAAGGTCGTTGCATTCTCAACTCACGTCAATAAATACTATACTATAGATTCATCTCAATTAATCCATCCATTGCGATTATCTTCTTGGTGATGATAGTAATGGTATTGGTATCCTTAAAACAATTAATTTAATTATTTCATTTTTTTTTCTTAACTATTATTTGCATAGGATTTGATTTGATACATGGAAGAAAAAGTATTGTCCAATGTTTACATTTGATTGGTATTTTTCGTTGTAATAAAATTCATTTGAGAATCATCGTAGATTTCTTTTTGCATACAATTAATTGTATACATCACGTTTATATTTAACTGTACAAAAAGATTATGTTAGTAAACATAAAAATACATATCTGTGAAATAATAATAATAATAATGATAATAATTAAAAGTTAATCCTTACGTCAAGTTTCGCACGTGTGAATCTTTGACAACACGTGAGTGCACGTAACTACACGTAACACTTGTATATATGCACTTTCAATATACGATACACATATATATATAAATAGACAAATAGATATATAGATAGATCGGATAGATAGGTAAATAGATAGATCGTACGCACCTATCATGTGTATGCGTGTATGCGTGTTAACCTAGGTGTTTTATAATAAAAAAAAAAAAAACATAGCGCCAAGAAGTTATTCTTGCTTCGTCACTATACCAATTACTAATACATTAAACATATTACATTATGCAAATAACTAATACTGATATCATTATAACGATCAATTTAACATAAGAAGAAATAAGAAATATTTAAAATTTTATTTTATATATAGGGGTGCCCCACAATCAGTCCGATACACACGTCTTTAAGTCAACGAATTACCGTATAATACCGCCATCTGTTAGAATCTTGTCGAATTAACAGAGATAATCATGACTCGTTTGTTAATAAACAAATAATTGCGATTACAAATTGAGATATAAACTATCCTATCTTTTAAGTTGAATAAAACTGCATAGAGTGTGGAAAATTTGATTAAAATCAGTTCAGTAGTTTGGGAGTCCATTGCGGACAAATAACGTCACACGTCATTTATATATATTAAGATTATATATTTATTTATTACAAATATATTTTTCATATTAATTTGAGTCATATATTTTTGTAATATAAACGATATTAATCTATTATTATCTAATTAATTAACAATTAAAAAATAAGACAAAACAAATAATAATAGTTTAAAAGTTTCTAATTGATTATGTTTATAAGATGGAAATATATTAAGTGCATTTTTCCTTTATTCGTAATAACAAATTGAGAATGTATTAAAAAGATACAGAAATATACAATGAGTGAATGATTATGTGTGTATGTGTTGTGTATGTGTGTAAGAAAGATGGAAAGAGTTTAGTTTGATGCTACGACGCAGGAGAATGAAGTTTTCCTTGAACTTTGGTATCAAGATAGTTGTGCATGAACAATTAATAAAACAATAAGAGGAAAAGAAACGACCGTATTAAATGATAAAGACAGTTAACTGAAATAGATAGAAACCTGAGATAGATTCCTAAAAAAATATAAAAGACAACGATAGTACTATAATTATTAATTTAAATTTTTTTTTTTCATCTTCATCTTCATCTTCTTCTTCTTCTTCTTCTTCTGTATATATCTAAAGTATTCTACCAATGTAAACGTAATAATTATTTTTTTACTTTTTTTTTTTTATTGTTAATATTATTTGCTTTTCTTCATAATTGGTTTTTTATTTAAGGTTTTTATTTTTAATAAAACAACATTAACATTCATTTATCTTTCATAACCATTTCCAAGATTCATTCACGTATGTAAGAAAGAGATAAAAAGAATGTATGTTCATATGTGTATATATGTGTGTAGGTGTTTGTGTATGTAAGAGAGTGAGAGAGAGAGAGAGAGAGAGAAAAGGCATTGAACGAATCGAATGAATGAGAAGGGTTTGACCCACATAAGTTCTTAGAAGCTCCATTACGTGACTGGAAAAATATTCTTCATTCTTATAAGAACTATGAAGTTATATATGAAAAATCAAGTAAAAATATTTTTCTATTTTCATTTCTTTTAATAAAAATAGAAACCATCATAGATACCATAGATCAATCAATCAATCAATAATATTAATCAAATGGTTTTAAATAATATTTTATTTGAAAATTTTCTTTATTCTTCTCTGAAAGATTGATATGTTCAATAATTTCTTGTAAGATTTTACCAAAAACCCTGATACAACCCTAACACAAACCCTTACGTAATCCCACTGTCTCTTATATGAAATCAATCAAAATTGTTTAACAAATTATTTAATAAATATTATTAATTAAATTTCATATCAAACATCTTGTCAAAACTCTAACGCAACCCTAACACAAACCCTAACACAAACCCTGACGTAATCCCACTGTCTCTTATATGAAATCAATCAACATTGATTAACAAATTATTTAATAAATATTATTTATAAAATTTCACATTTATTTATTGATTGATCTATTAAATAATTCGAATAATTTTGTAATTTATTTATCAGTGATAAAATGATCAAATAAATAATTGAATTGTTATATACATTTTTGTACATTTAAATGATTTATCATAGACAGGATATTTCTCTTAACGTTGAATTATTTTATTTATATGTTATTATCTTTATATATATATATATATATATGTATGTATAAATGTATGTATTATATATGTAGTATGCTTCCGTGAAAGTGCAATGAGAAAAGGAAGAAGGAGAATTGTTATAGGGGAAAAAGAGAGGGAAGTTGGTGCTCGTAAAGCGGATGAAACATTTTATAGGAGATGAATTCGAGAAACGAGCCAAATTTTCCTACGAAACCCTTAAACACATTTCTTTTTTTTTTTATAAACAATACAAATCTAAAAAAAGGTTTGTATACAATTTTTATCGTTTATTTGATCGTTTTGTTCATTTTAATATTCTAAAATCAACCAATCGTCTTCAACCAATCCTCTCTCTCTCTCTCTTTCTCTCTGGGGACTGTAAAAAATAAGAACATTGTTATACGTCAAACATAACATCAAAATTTCTAAATGAAAATGACAAAATGTTTGTTTATTTTTTGTTTTTTGTAGACGGCGTTAAGCAATTTGGAAGATATGCAACATTCGATGGTATATCGAAGTAATGAAAGAGGTAGGCATATGGGGGTTGGTCCTGTACGTTCACGTCCCATGGAAAAAAGACACGACACATCACCATACAGTGGTGTTTCTTATCTTTCACCATCGTTACCAAACGAATGGCGAAGGACCAATTCGGATTCAGCATTGCATCAAAGTGCTAATGAAGCTTGCCAATCAACGACGACTATGCCTCATCGAAGAGGTATTATCATTATTATTATTATTATTATTATTATTATTAATTATTTCATTAAAGTATTTTTTTTTGTTGGTTTGATCATCGTTTGTAAAAAGGTGAACTTAATGTTTTAGAATAAATTTAAATTGAAAAAAATCAATCATTCTCTTTGAAGACTATCAAACCTTGCAAGTTTTTACAAAGTGGGTCAATAGTTTTCCAATGAGACTTTAAAAATATTGTTTTTCATTTTGTTTTCGAAACTTGCATTAAACGAGTATTAAAAATACAATTTGTTATAATGGAAATTAACAGATAATTGATCAAATTTAATAATTATAAACATTTAATATATAATATTAGGTTGGCAAGTGAATAATTGTGGATTTTGTTGATAAGTTGCCTTTTAAAATCATCAATGACTTAGTTGCCAACTCAATCTATACAATACAATAATTAATATAAATGATAAATAATTGTAAATTGAAAATAATATTTTCGAAAAGTGTGCAGCACATCGTTTTTTTTTTCTCTTTTTTTTTTTAAGTTGCATCGGTTCGCGAATACTCGGAATAAGAGATTGTTTTGAAAATTCATGCGTTCTCAGAATGCACTACGATTATTTTATGCTCGCGTAATGCGCTGCGAATTCACTTGCGTTCACGTAAAAAAAAAAAAAAACTAAAAATAGTTTTCCCTTCTTTTTTTTTCTCTCTCTCTCTCTCTCTCTCTCTTTCTTTCTTTCTCTTTGTCTCTTTGTGTTTAGCTTATTTTTCTTGTTAGTTTGATAAAAAACAAAATGTAAATAACTTATTCATTGCGTTGCGTATTTTTATCAACGCGCATTAAACATACATTATTTTGTTCATGATCATTTGATTATATAAATTTGATTTTATTGAAATAATTATTTATATATATATATATATCTTTTTTTTGTTAATTTATATAGATCAGCACAATATGAACAGCGGTAGTAATGATAATAGAGAAACGTATCATGGTTCAATCGAAAGACCAAGGTCGTCATGCGAGATGCCACGAGTACCTGGAATCAAGTACGTATATATACATATATATATATATTTATAATTAATTATATATTTAATTTATATATAATAAAAATGCAAAATATTTGCATAAATGCATCCGTAAATTATCGTAGGTTCAAACGACACTTCTTTGAAAAATTAAAAATTAATATATTTATTCTATATTTATTATTATATTTAATATTATTTAAATATTATTTATCATTGTCGTTGTCATTGTATAGGAGAATACTTAGCATAATTCATATTACGTCGACTTTGTACAAGTGCATATGTATTGTATTCCATGCATACCGAACATCTCGATGCAAACGTGTTACATACTAATATTGTACATTATATATATATATATATAATATATACTTGGAACGTTTACTTTGTTTCTATGATAACGACATTGACACATTATACGTCGTATTATTTTTATCTTCGATTTTTTATTTTTATTTTTATTTTTATTTTTATTTTAAACTTCAATTTTTTTTTTTCCTATTTATCCCACCTCTCCCAAACCCTTCCACGAATTATTATTTCAATTTTTTAATCTGATTGTAATCTTATAGTTTTTTTTTTTCAAATCCTAATTTACATTTCATATTTTTTCAATTTTATTATAATTTTCTTTTTTTTTATTTTTTTATTAAATATATATATATATTTGATTCATCTTATTTTATTATTCTTTTTATTTTAGTTGAATTATTTAAATACCAATTGATGAATGATAAAAAGATTAACATTGTATAATGAAATAATATAATTATTAAAAATATACATTTTGTTGAATATGTGTACAGCATATGTTTGAGTTCACAACCACCTGGACAACAAATTCCTATAGGAAATAATACAGGATCGTTGCCAGATTTGAGCAATGTCCATTTTCCAACACCCCTTCACACCCCTCTAGACCAAGAGGATCACACCAGTAGTACACCCTTCAGCAACGTAAGTAAATATTTTCAATTAATATTTCGCAATACAATCATTTTTGTCATTTATATTTTCTTCCTTGTTTTATTCTAATTTTTATTAATTTTTTTTTTCTTTTAAAAACCTTCTTCCTCCCCCCCCCCTCTTTTTTAAGCCCTTTTACTTCGTTTTTCTTTTTTTCAGTTCGATGTTAAAGGTTTGTCCCCACTCTACACTTTTCTTCTTCTTCATATTTTGTTGTTTCTTCGATGTTATTTGAAATTTTTGTTTCTTTTTTTGTAAGATGGGGGAAAAGAGTTTTTTTTTCATAATTTTTTTCATAATTTTTTTCATAATTTTTTTTTTTTTTTTACTTGTTTCACACCTCAAGTAGAAAATTGTTGTTAAACGACGCACGACTTTACCGATTGTTCAAAGATTATCAATGTAATCTTACATTAAATTACGTGACGGTGACCGGTAAATTTGTACAAATTCGTTTGGTCACGCGTCGAGGTTTCTTTTTTTTTTTTACTTGTTTCACACCTCAAGTAGAAAATTGTTGTTAAACGACGCACGACTTTACCGATTGTTCAAAGATTATCAATGTAATCTTNGTTTTCATTTAATTTAAAATAATAATAAAAAAAAAAAAAAATAAGAAAAAAGAACAGAATTTTTATCTCACACGAGAGTTTAGAATAAAAGGAAACATCGGCAGTCGTAACGTTGTTTTCTTATTTTTTTTTTTTTTTTTTACCGATAGTTTGTACAAAAACTTTACATGCACAATATACATACTTACATAAAATACATACCAGAGATATATATATATATTTAGAAAAAAGAAATCATTCTCTATACAGGGTGTTTCGTAATTAGGAGATCAACTTAAGAAATTAATTCATACAATAAATGTGTTCTTATTTTTATTCATGATTTTTTCTTTTTTTTTTTTTTTTTTAAATTAATTGTTTAAAAATGTTAACTGGGAATGACAATTATTTTTCAATATAACTTTAAACAAAACAAAAATACCATATTTAATTTTGAATATTGTTTCAATTAATAAATTACAGGATACTGTTATTTGATCACACGTTTACGAATAATCCTGTATATAATAATAATAATAATTATTATTATTATATTTGAGAGAAGAAAAAAAAAGTATTGTAGAGATCGTATAGAATTGAAAAAAAAAAAAAAAAAAAATAGAAAAAAAAATGTGTGTACAACTGGTGTATTCCAGAGTCCTCAAACGAGCAGTCCTACAAACCTGTCGCCGACCAGCTTATGCCAAGCTGGTAGGCTATCCCTTTCACAGGATCACAATCCGTCAAGTGCCCAAGTAAATATCCTATTGCCAACAACAACAAAAATAAACCCCGTAAATTATATTATTATTATTAATATTATTATTACTATTAGTTTTTGTAGCGTTGGTGCATTTGTTTAGACGTTAGTCGAAATTTTTCTTTTTTTCTTTTTTTTTAAATTTATTTTTCCCCTTTTACGAAGCATTCGATTGAAATTATATTAATTATATTTTTATATTATATAATTCAATTTTTTAATATCAATTCTTCTTTTTTTTATTGCAAATAAAAATGATTGAAACATTTTTAAAGATACTTTTTTCTTTTCGAATGGTTCGTATTTGATTAGAAGAATGTTAGAAATGTCGGAAGTGAGAGGGAGAGGGTACCATTCATTCATTGAAAGAAAATGAAGAAGAAAAATTATTAAAACAAATTGAATTATAAATTAAATGTATGAATTATAAAATAAATAATTAATTTTAATGAATTTAGTTTTTGTGTTTGTTTGTTTTATTTTCTTCGTTTCAAAACTTCTTCTCACTTTCTAAGAAATTAATTGCTTTGATCAGAATTTAGGACAAAAGTTTATTAGTAGAGCATAGTTGCATGAACAAAATTTAGAAAAATCCAAAGAGAAAATAGAATAAATAAAAAAAAAAAAAAACAATAAGCAAGGGAATAAAATAGAAAAAATCCTCCTATGCTTTTATCTGTGTTATCTTATCAAGCATCATACTCATTGGGATTTGTTTCATATTATCAAATTTAACAAAATGTTCATTTCAATAATTCAATCCAAAAATCAATCATAGTTTCCCACCCAATACGTGCACAAATTTCTAATTTTAATCTAAAAAATGAATTTAAAAAAAAAAAACCCCCCGCTTAGATTAAAATTAGAAAATCTTTGAAAAAAGGGGGGTAGGTAGGTAGATATAAGGAAAAAAAAAAAAAAAAAAAAATCACACAACCAACCAATCAACCAACCAACCAACCTCTTTTAAGTTTGTCCATTATTTTTTTATTTTGCCTTTGTTGTAGTGGTCGTTTGTGTTTTGTTATTTTGCAGAACCATTTATCAGTGCCTGTTAACTCTAGGTTCCTTCACGCGCATAAGGTCAGTAGTTATATTACACACTATAATTTCTTTGCTTTTAATCATGCCAATATATATATATATAAGCACGTTTAATATACACACAAACATACATATTAATATAAATATATATATACATACGCACATATACAATCATATATTAATTCCATACATGCATTTTATACATTTGATAATGATACGCCTCCTTTTTTTTTCTTTTCTTTTCTTTTCTTTTTTTATTTTAACTCATATGTGTATATATATATATATTTATGTATACACACATGTACATAAAACAAACATGCGAATTATTAATTAAAAGTAGTGTGCCCTCTTATCTCGTTTGTTGCTTGAACTATTTATTTTATTATTATTATTTTTATTATTATTATTATTATTAACGTTAAGATAAGTTCTCGCACAAAATCGAATTGAATTATTTCATTAAATAATATATACAATGTTTATCATTTTTATTTAATAACAAATGTTGTGATTACAAATTATTAGATCGAGTCATAAGTAACTTCCGATGCGGCTAATGTAGATTCCTATTTTTTTTTTCGTATTTACCTACAATAAGTGTCACCGAAATCAAACGGATTTTCTTAATATATACATATATATAAATTACGTGTGTGTCACGTTGTTTGTCCGCAATGGACTCTTAAATTACTGAACCGATTTTAATCAAATTTTCCACACTTTGTGCAGTTTCATTTAACTTGAAAGATAGGATGAGTTTATAATCTCAATTTATAATCGTAATATTATTTTATTGTTTGTATTTATGTATCGGACTGATTGTGAGCCACAGCAACGCGTGTGTACGTATCGTACGATCTTAAAAGATGAACCGAGTGCAACGACGTATTTCCGACTTTGATATGAACCGTTCAAAGGTAATATTGGAAGCAAAATCCAATAGATACGTTGAACAATTGCAACGAGTGCAACAAAAAAAAAAAAACTCCATGAAAGGTGTCTTGCACTTATCATCAGTCGCAGAAACGCCATTCTCTTTGTCTCATAAAAAAAAAAAAAACGGAAGTTATTTATGACTCGACCTAATAGATTGATTGCAAATTTTCTTTTACTAATACAATAAATAGAGGAATGTGGATGGGGGTGAGGGGTGAGGGGGTGAGAGGAGGGGAGAGGGAAATGTTGATAGGGTAATAATAGTGATCGATTTGTTCGATTATGCGAGTTCTTCTTCTTTTTTATTTATTTATTATTTTTTTTTTTTTTAATATCGTTGAAGTATTTAACGATGAAAATATATAAAAATAAAAAATATATATATAAAGATGGAGGAAATTGTTATACAACAGAAAAAAAAGGAAAAAAGAGAGAGAGAGAGAGAGAGAGAGTGAGAATGAGAATGAGAATGAGAGAGAAAGCATGGTGAGAAGATTGTGCACGAGAATCGATCGGTTAATAGAGATGGGTATGATGAAGCAGGGTGTGGCGCTGGAAAACAGCACAAGTACTTCGCAACAGGATCTTCAGAATTATTCTCAACAACAACAACAGCAACAACAACAACAACAACAACAACAAACGGCACCTCAACCACCACCATCGATATCTCACAATCCGGCTGCTGGTCATTATATTTATCAACAACAACCACATAGTCCTGTGCCACCACAAAGCCCGGTTAGTATTTTTTATTAATTAATAAATATATTTATGTTATCTTTATCAATGAGATATTTATGTATCATTAATTTCAATCTTTCACGTTATAACATATAACATATATATATATATAATTTTTTATGGCGATCAAAAATGAATATACATCATCATCATCATCATTATTATTATTATTAATATTATTATTAGTATGATAATCGTGATCGTTAATAAAGAGGGAAGTTGCCTTTTAAGTCCAACATATCTTCGTTCGTTTATTCTACGAACGGATTTGACGGATATTGGTTAGTCATCGTTTCGGTGCCATAAGTTGATTCGAGAGTATCTACGGATACATTTCAAGGACACGATTGACATTTTTTTAATATTCTTTAGGCTTATTAATTTCATCTCTCTATCTCTCTCTCTCTCTCACCTTCTTCTTCTTCGTCTTTTTATTTGTTTTAAAACATTCTGATTGTGAACTATTAATTATAATCAATTTAATTTGAACAATATTGAACGCATATATATATTCGTTATTATTACTTTCGTTGTATACATAAATACTAAATAAAAAAGGATTAATATGATTTAAGAAAACGTCACAATCTCAGCAATCTCAACAACATCAGCATCAGCAACAACAACATCAACAACAACAACAACAACAACATCAGCAACATCAACAACAATCTCAATTAAATTCCTTGGGTTCCTATAGAACTTCGCAACCTGTTAACAGGCCATCACCACAATCGTCACCTAGTTTAACTGTACAGGTAAATGAAATAATTCACCATATAACTTTGAAAATAAAATAAATCATACGAATTATTATAACACATATCTTCATTTTTATTTGTTCAAGTTTTAATAATTGTTGACAATAAATTGATCGATAAGAATAGATCATTGATTAAATTATTATAATATTGTTAATGGTAAATAAATAAATTTCATTATTTTCTATTGGTTTTTCTATTTCAAGGGGAGTCCATTAAGTTATAGCAATAATCCATCAGCTCCGCCAAGTCCAACAGGACATCCTGGTCCACCGACCCTAACCTCGGATGGAATAGATCAAAACAGTTACGTCATCAACCAAGCACAAGCTGCTGCACTTCAACAAGACTTTGAACAATTCACGATGGTAAGTTTATATTACTTTTTTATTATTATTATTATTTAAACAATCCACGTGTGTGTATGCGTGTGAATACATGTTTACGTATAAACCAAACAAATTTCGATCCTGAAAATCTAATTATCCTAATAAAATGGGTTGTCCATAAACAAAAAGTGTAAAAAACAATGAAATCAATTTTAATAATTTCATAATAATGATTAAATAAAGTGGTGGGGAAGGGGAAGGGGATGGTTGTTAGTTTAACGGTGGTTGTTAAAAAAAAACCTTGGTGTTTATCTGTTACCTGCATTCGTCAGGATTGGCCGAAATTCGCACAGCAGCTCATGGAACTTGGTTGCACCTGGACAACGCAGATTGAGGTGACAAGAACCTTTTCCCTCATCTGTTGTCTTGTATTTATTATTATTATTTTTTTTTGTTTTTTTTTTTTTGGTGGTAATTATCCTTTTCCTTCAATCGATCCGATCTATCGTTTAAGTTTATTTAATTTAATTGGAAAAACAAAAAAATGAGAGAAACACACACACAAGGTAATCCTTTAAGTATAAATCAATTGATTATAGAAAACTTACATGAGATTAGAAAATAATTGAATTGTATTATGGTGTGTAAGTTTTTCATGGTGTATACTCTAAAGGATTATATTTGTATATTTGTTATAAATTATTATGTTTCCTTTTTGTGCAATAAACGTTAAGGTTCAATAAGGTTCGGTTTTTTTTTCTTTCTGTTTGATTTAGATGGACACACCTGTCTCTGCTAACACGATTGGAAGTTACATTAGTTCGCCTAATCACACGACGAGTTATTCACAGGTGAGTGTTAAACAAACATTACATTATTAGAAATTATTATTATATAACATTGTCATTTTTTAATATTAATTCGATTAAAGTAGAATCTTTGTTTTGTCAAATGAAATGTCAAATATCTTTTGGTTTTTGGTTTTTTKTGTGTGTGTGTGGTAGAGACTGTTGTTTTTATCATTGCAATTATTGTATTAATTGTTTATTATGTTACAGAACGACATGATTAACGTCGGCGGTGATTTAGGCAGCGGAGATGGTGGATATTATAGCCCGAATCCCCAAGTGGGTTATCAACCAACGAACACGTCATCTACGACGGCACAACAATTGACTCCACAAACGCCAAATACACCTACGATCATACTCACAGGTAAATTCATATTTTGATAAATCTTTTAAATATTATATTTAATTATTCTTCTCACTTAAATTTATTCTAATTTTTAAAACAAGTAAACAAACATTAACAGAATAAACATTTAATGATACAATTATTAATACTTTAGATATGTTACACACATGTATAATACTACTATGAATATAAAAATATAAATAATTAAAAAAAACAAACAAAACCCGAAAAAATTGCTAAATTTGTTTAGATTTTTCTGGAGCGGATGACCTGACCAATCCAGAATTTGTGAAAGATCTAGGAACGGCAATGATGAGCGATTTCGATCCAGAACTATTTCCAACGGACGATGCCCTTAGACAGGGCTTGGGTCAAATCGACGTTGATGGTTTACAAATGCTCACAGACCCAACCGTGGTGATATCTGATCCCAGTGCAGAAGCACACTTTAGGTTAGATCGGCTCTAAAAAGCTCAAACCAAGTCTCAGAGATATTTCAAAAATAAATTTAAAAAAAAAAAAATAACAGAAAAAATAGAAAGAGAGAAAGAAAGAAAGAAAGAAAGAAAGAAAGAAAGAAAGAGAAAATACACAACACTGGTGGCTTGGCCGATTTATTAAAAAAAGTAGGACAAAACTAATTCTGTCTCTTGGTGTCGCGATCAAAAAAATTAAACATTAAATTAAATAAGCTCTTTATAAGAAGACACTGCGAATAATTAAAAAAAAAAAAAAAACAACGTTGAAATGTTTCCATTGAAAAAGAAAAAATAAAGAATAAAGAATTATATATAAATATATATATATGAAATCTATTATTAATAAAAGAAAAATAATAATAATAATTAATAATTAAATAATTCTAATTGTGGCCAGAAAAAAAAGGATAGAGAAAAAATAGAGAGAGAGAGAGAGATAAGGGAAAAAAAATAGAAGCAATTTATTATTATCGTCATCCTATATAAGAATAAAAAAAAAATAAACAAAAAAATTATATAATAAATTAAGAAGCTTGAAAAAATTTCAATGTAAACATATCAACGAATACGTGATTCGTGATACATCATTGATCGAAGATGAAGATGAAGAAGAAGAAGAAGAAAATAAAAAAATTAATAATAATAATAATTAATAATAAAAAAAAAAGTAAAATAATAATGATAATGATAATATGATAATATCTCTTTATTAATCCTTTTTTTATTTTATACTACTTTGTACATTGTGTATCATGTATGAGATGATCTCTGAAGAAAAAAGAAAAAAAAAAAAAGAAAAGAAAAAAAAAACCAAGAAAAAAGCACAAAAGATAAATAATACCTTTACTGATTTATACATGCTTTTATCGTATGCGATTACTAGTGATGATGTTTCTAATCATTGTCTGAAAAAAAAAGAAAAGAAGAAACAGAAAAAAATAATGAAAAATGAATTTATTATTAATTAAACAACAAATTCATTCATTTATTCATTCGTTTGTTCGTTCGTTTGTTCGTTCGTTCGTTCGTTCGTTTGTTCATTCGTTCGTTCGTTCGTCGTTCGTACACATTCGTTCAATATTATACATCTATGTATACGTATTTAAAAATACATGTATATAGAAATATATGAAGAAAAAATATGAAAAATAAATGTGTTTTAACCAGTTAAGTGTGACGCGAATCTGTGCGACAGAGAGTTGCACGCGCTCTGGTGTGTGTCGCGGTAATCAAGCGATGTCGGATATAGTCGTCAAACACAGAGCATAAGTGGTGGCGCTGTTTAAAATATTGGATAGTCAAAAAGACGACTATTATTTTAGAAAATGAACAATTTTGTTAGTAAAATGTACACACAGAGTTATAGTACATCAATTGTACAACAAACCGGACATTGTCAACGTCGTAAAATCAGGCCGATTAAGATGGGTTGGTCACGTGGCACACATGGGAAAGGAGGATTGAACGGCGCACAAAATATTGGTCGGTATATCAAACGGGAAAAGACCACTTTACGGATATAGTCGTAAAACACGCTTAACTGGTTAAAAATATTCGAAATGATTATGAAATACAATGAAAACTTAAGAATACATGTACATAAATGTATTGTCAAATCAAGTGAACGAACTAATAAATGAATGAATGAATGAATGAATGTACTCATTCATTCGAAGATATAGGATCGATCAAAACAGGCTTGTTTAGTAGTTAAACGTTGCTCTCAATTTTACAATTTCAACTCCTTCGACAAAATAAGATACATATATATATATATATTAAAATTAAAATTAAAATTAAAAATTAAAAACAAAAAATATAATAAAAAAATAAGAGGAGTACTTAAAGAAGAAGACGCATAAAGAAGACATATATAAATATTATACATATACATACACACACACACACACACATATTATATACACGTGAAAGAGAGAAAGAGAAGAAAAAAAGAAAGAAAAACCTACTACTTTGTTGTTGTTTATCTTTTTGTTTGTTTTTTTATTTTATTTTAAATATTTTTTATGAAAAATTGCCGATAAATTTTAATTGATATTGCGAGAATAGTGAAAAAAAAAAAAACATTTTTTCTTTTGTTCTCTTTTTATTGAACGCGCGTGCGCACACTCGTACGTATATGAATATATGTATATAAATTTACATTAAAAAAATATATATATATGTATATGTATATACATACACATTATTATTATTATTATTATATGTATATTATTAAACAAATGAGTTACATATATAGATATATATATATATATTATATATTATACATTACCAAGTGATTTTTAATGTTGTTAACGTGACTGAATAATTTTCTGTTTAAATTGTTTTATCTTTAAATTTTAAATGACAAAAATGAAAAAAGAAAAAAAATAAACAAAAGAAAAAAAAAATGAACGAAAAAGAATGTAACCCGATGTCTCGATTTGAAAAAAAAAAAAAGAAAAAAAAAGAAAACCTGAATCAGAATGATCATGAAAAGTCAAATAAATTTAAAAATGATCATTCGCAGCTTCCTTAAGAAATAAAATAAAAAAACATTTTAACTTTCTATACACGTACTACATACATACACATACAAAAACAAATACACATTTTTCCCTTGCTCTGTTCGTTTTGCAATAAAAATAATTAATAATAATAATAATAATAATAAAACAAATAAAATAAAATAAAATATTCTGCGACACGACTATTAGCGAAATAAATAAATTAATTAATTAAATTAAATAAAATAAAATAAAATAAATTAACTTTAATAGATTTAAAAAGAACAAAACACGTATTTAATAAACGTGTTTTCCCGTAATGATGGTGGTTGTCAATTGTTTTTTGAAAGTAATATGCTATACTTTGTAATACACATTGACTAAATAATTAACAAATGAATTAAAACGAAACAAACAATTCATTAAGTGGAATTTAGGATAATCGATGCAACAGCAACAGCAGCAGCAACAACAACTACAACTACAGCTACAACTACAAACAACAGTGTAATAATACATATGTAATAAAATGAAATGATGACAAAGCTTACATGTAAAAATTACACATTATACACACATACATAAAATACATACATACGTACGTACAATACATAATAATTCGTTCTATGTAATTGATAAATGAATGAACCTAATTCTTCTCGATAATAATCATCGTCTCTTCATTAATAAATTTAAGAAAATATTCAATTAAAATACAAATGAAAATGAGCTCGCAGGCTGTGTGTACATAAAAACACCATAAAATAGAACTAAATAACATAAATATATATATATATTAATATACAGGGTGATTAAATTTTGAATTCATTCATTTAGTTGATCTTTCAAATTAATGCAATTGCAAAAAATAATTTAATTCGAACGATAATTGTTAAAGTGAGAGATTGAAAATAATATTAAAATACAGAATATTTGTTAAACTAATTGTATAAGTATAATTCTATGTATATTTATTATAATAATTATTGTTTTTAATAGAAATAATGGAGATTTATAAAAAAAACACTTACGATGAAAGTTGTTTTTTGAGAATCTTGTTAAACACTTATAAATGTTTTTTTTTTTTAATCACTTATGTTAGATCATAAAGTGGATTCTTTTATATATTAAAAAAACACCTTGTATATTAAATAAGTATATCTATATATACGGACTGCGTGTGGTGTTTTAGTAGGAAAGAAATCTATTATATCGCAACGTTAATACCTTCGAATTTTTATCGGTGTAATAAAAGTTTGTTTACCACTTTTGTGACACACCTTAAAGAAAAAAAAAAAACAAACAAATAATAATAATAATAATAATTAAAATAATAATTAATAAAACGCTATAGAAGAGAAAGTCTGAGAAACGAAATAAACAAAAAGGAAAAAGAAAAATAAAACGTATTTATAAAAAGACCGACCGGATCGAGTTATGTTCGTATTAATTATTATAATAAATTAAATATATATATATAGACAATTTGCAATTGATAATAAATAATTAATTAATTAATTAAATAATCGTCGTAATATATTATTAGACTTTAGTTATCTATAGTAAGTTTTTGTAAATTTGATAATAATACACAAAA